CATAATCCTCGACCAGCCTCCGCTCTTACACTGTGTTCATCCAGACCTGCATCCACTCACTAACACATCAAGATAGTGCCACAAGCTGTGTTTTAAAGTCTACAAGTCACCATGATTGGAAAATTGGTCTTTGCATTAGTCTTAAATGTGGGTCAGAGGAGAAGAGGGCACATGGGGAGATGCTTCAGAGCTTTGTTTGCATTGCAGATGAATTTCATTCCTCTACCCTGGCTTCTCTTTCTTCCTCTCCCTGTATCCTCTGTTGTTGCTTTTCCTCTCTCTCTCTCTCTCTTTCTGTCTGTCCCTCTCTATCTCTTGTTCCCTGAGGAGCCCAGCTGGGAGAGGCAGATAAACACACGGGGGCGTGGGGCTTAGCACCCACCCTCCTTCCACAATGCCACGCTCTCCTGTTCAAAGGCCCCTGCCAGAAATGAGAGGGGCCGAAAAAAATCACAGAGAGACGAGGCAGCTGCAGGAGAGGGAGAGAGAGAGTATACAGACGTACAGTGAGAGAGAGAGAGAGAGAGAGAACGGGAGATGTTTATCTGCGGGTGATTGTGATAATTAGGAGGGAGTATTCTCTCTCGCTCTCTCTTCTGGTCACTTTTCTACCATTTGTTTGTTCAGATAAGCACATGCCACAGTCTGCATGCTTTGTATTTATCTCTTGTTGTTTTTTGCTGCATGTGATTTCGTTGCATATGTGAACTTGCTCAGCGTGTTTGCAGATGTGTGAACACATTTCTTTCTTTCTTTGTGCCCCATCTTGCCACAAATTGAAAAGAGAGAATCACTTGAAGTCACTTGAGTTGATCCATTCCCTGCAGAGGTTCAGCTGTGTGAGGTGCATCACAGTAGTCAGGTATAGGCAGCCTTCAGTCTCCACCTGAGGCCCAAAGCTGCAGGACATGAGTGGACATTTGAGTCCTTGGTTTATGGTTCAGCATTTGGCTTTGATCTGGGCTGACATTAACCAGCCAAAGCTAGCTCAGCCCTTTGTGACCCAGATTGGCCTCTCAAAGCATCACCTGGCACTGTGTGTTTACTTCAGCAGTTCAACAGTAGCCGCCTAATAAAGCAAGCACCGTGGATACCAGTCTCTCTATCAGTTGAAATAAATGGTTGTGTGCATCTTCATTAATATATATTTATATGTTGATACAACTTTTTCGGCCGTGGCAATGCTATAATGTTACAACGTACAAATGAATTTACCTGTAAAGATGGACAATCCAAAAATGGATTGAGGGTCAGCATGCTAGATTGTAACTGTCTTAACTGTGAGCATACAGTGTAGAGAAGCTCTGAGCTGGATTGGTTCTTCATTACAGACTAAATGTGGTCAGTGAACTCTATGAAGCTGATGTGTTGTGTTGACACTCTTTTTGTACTCATCAAAAAATAACTATGACTAACCCGTAATGTAATGACAACATTTAGCCACAAGGTGGCATTAATCACCTGATAATGTGAAAGCGTGCAGGCCTCATACTTAAACACAAAGCACTTTGAGAAAATGTGCACCGATCTCACCAGGACTCTTTTGTTTACCACAGCTGATCTGTTATTGCATCTGCGTGTTATAATAGCGCCCCCCAGAGGAAGGTTCATGCTAACCAGGCTTCAGGTCTTATTATGGTGGCTGCTACTCTTGAGGCTTTAAAAGCTTTTTATGACAAATTGGGCTGAGAGAGAAAGCATTTTAAGGGCAGGGGGTGTGTGTATGTGTTTATGTGGTATGATTGTTGATTATAATAAGGAGGCTTATCATTCGACTGGTCCTTACTTTACTTCAAATCCCTGTCTGTTTTTCTACTCTCTATTCTGTTGTCTGTAAAAAAAAAAAAGGGGGGGGGGCATAGATAGCTGCAAAAAACCCTTTTTCTGTTTTCACCAGGAGCTTATAAGGCCTTTCACATCCATCTCTGTATTACATAATAAAGTCAAGATATTTCTACAACAAATAAAAAAAGAATTCAGCCCATTGTGAGTAATTAACATACTACATGGCAATGTCACAGAACTTGGTAAGTATAAATGACTCAAAACAGAACCAAATATCATCACTAAATGAATTTGATGTGAAACTTGGATGTTCTTTCTAACATATTATATACTAAAATCACACACAAAAATGCGACATAATGGATAAACCACGTCATTAATCTATTTGTCTTCCAAACTTGGAATAATAATAATAATAATAATAATAATAATAATTCATAATTATGAAATCAATAGTACAATAATATTATATATAATATAATAATTTTGGGGTGATGGTGGATCAGTGGCTAGTGTGCGCGCCCCATGTATGGTTCAAATCCAACCTGTGGCTCCTTTCCTGCATTTCGTTCCCTACTCTCTCTCTCTCTCTCTCTCTCTCTCTCTCTCCTTGATTTCCAACTCTGTCAACTGTCCTGTCTCTCCATTAAAGGCACAGAAAGCCAAAAAATAAATCTTTTAAAAAAAGTAATAATAATAATTTTAATAGTGCTCATATGCATGTTCTTCTTGTTGTCTTTTACTGCTGCAACACTTGAATTTCCCGCAGAGATGCCGCTGTTCCAATGGCTATGCTGAATGCATAGCGTTGAAAGTTTAGATCCTTTTTGTGTTTATATTTGAATTTGGTTAATTTATATCAAGGAAAATACTGAAGGACGTATTTGAACATCTCTTTTTATGTTTGTATAAGCCTTGAGGTGAAGTTAACATCAGGTGCCAATGGATGGTGTACATAAAGTGATCTCTTCTTCAAGACCTTTAGACCGTCTGTCCTGATTCAGTTCAACCCACTGCAGCTATAACAGTCCATATGCTGACGTGGCCAAATGCTATAGTGGGTGTTAAATTAGCTTCTTGGTAGAGAAATTCTTGACATGCCCTAAAGCAATTTCTTTTTCAAAAGATGGTGCTGCTGATTCTCAATCCCCACTTCTTAATAAAAAAAATGACTCGGTACAGTTTGAATGTTTCCTGTGAATTAGAACTGATAGCATTCTAACTCTAAATGTAAAGTCTTGTATACTTAATATTTCGCCTGTAAAAGTATTAAAATTAAGTATTTATCCTAATAAGAAATGGTGTAATTCAAGTGTCTGAAACCGTAAACATGGCCTGTTGATGGTTATTACCAGTCAAGGGTTTTTGAGTGTCCACACCTCTTTTATCTCTGTAATAATATGGAACAAGCTATCGCTACCATCAATAAGCAAAGGGATATCTCAGCTAACGTTGCATTTGTATGCTAGCTGCCAACAATGACTGCAAAGATAGCAAAGCATTTAACTTATTAGTCAGTGACCAGGTAAAGTGAATGTTATTAAGTCACAATATGAAGCTTCAGATCACGGGGTGGCAAGGGGGGGCATGGGCCACTCTTGAAATCTGATTGGCAACCTAGAGGCCAGCCCAAAATCCGAAATTACAAGGCTATTAGCCTCATCAGAGGTGGAATGTATGTGCAAATCAACTTTTTGGGCTGTGTTGCAACTGGCTGAAATGAGCTATCTTTGTATGTTCTTTTCGTTTAGTGAGTTCTCTAAATTGTTACTTTGGACACACTTCTTTTTGAGTTTTGAAGCTTAGAAAGTTTATATGACACAAATCTGGTGTTCTACTTTTGAAAGTCAAATCATATACTCAGGAATAAAACATATTTGAGGAAATCTGCAGAGTGCCTTTACACCTTTCAGAAAAAGCTAAAGACCCAGCTCTTTCATGAACACCTACACACTTAATAATATTGATGATGAGGAGGATATTATATATCAGATGTTTTTGATGCTGATTAGAACTCTCAAGAACAGCTGTCCATGTTGTTGTTGTTGATGATATATTAACATTGTTTTTAGTTTAAAGGTGCCTCTGTGCACTGCTTGTCAGCACCTGTGTTTGGATGTGCGTGTTGGATGTTGTTTCCTCCTTGTCCTTGCTTGTGTTGTACTAACTCTCTGAAGTACCTCACTGCCGATAAAATCTGCTAAATGAATTACGAATTGTAGAAAGAGGAGAATCTTCAGAGATGCGGTGACTTCAGGCAGAGGATCATTTCGCTGACAGACATTTTAATTTTCCTTGATCAAGATTCAATAAATATTTCAGCTTGAAACATGATTCTCTCATGGACATCTTCCTCCCAATGAAAAGAAAAGCTGAATGTTGAAATTCCACAACCATTCACAATGTTTAATTATGGTCAGAGTTGTGTATGACTCTTAACTTTAATATAATTTCAAGGTGGTTTTTTAAAGTTTAATTTTTAGAAGCAAAGTATTTAACCCAACCCATCAACTCAATACTTCTGAATTTGATGTATATTTAACTCAATATGGTAAAAGCTGCACTAATCCATTTGTTATAATATAACACTGTGAGGTTAAGTGAGGGTTATTGTTCAAAGAGAAAAACTCAAAGATAGGCTGCAGTACAGCGGTTCTCAGCAGGTCTAGCCTCAGAGCCCACCACCAACTGCTTCATGAGAAATCACTACCCAAATATCTGAGATTTTTCAACCATTCAGATTTATTGAATGAAAATAGTGCAGTTTGGACTTAAAGACAATACAAAATGTGTCACGAATGAAAGAACCAGTACAAAACAAACATGCTCAAAAAGCACTTCACAGACTTTTTGACACCATCTCTTTTCCAGGCACACATTCGCGAACCCACTGAAAACGGCAGGACCCTCTTTTGGGTCCCGACCCACATGTTGTGAACCACTCTAATAGTAATATCAATCTGTGATTTAAAAAATAATCAACAACATTTCAGTGGTTGGATACACTATACTTGAATGCTGGTTGACTCATTAGGTCAACAATTTCAATAAAGGCTGATAAAAATAATTATTAACAGTGTTGAATGAAACTTACGATTTCTATGGCAAAACAATAATCTCCTCATAACAACCTGTTGTGACTGTTTCACTGCATCATTGTTGGTTAGTGACTGTTTTCATAGCCTGCATGTTGTTGTGTTTTCTTTCTTTTGCAGCTTTTTGCCATTTTTGCTTTTGCGACATGTGGGGGCTACTCTGGACAGCTACGGGTTAGTGTGGACTGCATGGAGAAGGCAAGCAGCAACCTCAGCATTGCCATTGACTTTGCTTATCCCTTTAGGTGAGTGGGAATGATTTACTGTCTCTGTTCGATGGCAGGAGATATGCTTAATATTTATACAGATGTTTATACTGTGCATTGTGTATTGTTTTTATTTTAATTTTTTTTTTTTCCCAAATCTTAATTTAATTATCTTTTTCTCTTCGAACCTTTTCCTCGGTTTTTTATTTATTTCATTTTATTTCGTGTTGTATGCATTCTTGTATGTTTAAAAACATATATAAAAAATGTGCCAGGATGAACAAAATATGTGATAAAATTTGACAACTTATAATTTAGAAAAACAACCTGCAATAAAGTATAAGAAAACAAAAAAAACATTGCAATCATAATGTACAATAACATATTTTCAAAGCCTTGGAATACATTGTATTTTTGCAGTGTTAATTGTAAATAAAAATATGCTTTTGCCAAGATAGTAAATATATTTGAAATCAATGTTGTTTCGTAGCATATTGATTTTCCCAGGACACTATGAAATAAATTGAAAGTTACTCAATTCTAAAATAATGTTTGTATATCAGAATGATTTCTGTAAGAGCAGTGGAAAACCGGGAAAAAAATGACAGTGTATTGCAAGAAGTAAGGTAAAATAAAACCTGCTTTGATTTAAAGCCCTTGTGAGGATTTTGTTTGTTTGTATGATTTTGGGACACCCTGTGGACAAAGAAGTAAATACTATCTTTAAACTGGGAAACTATTCTTGTCAAACAGGAGGGTCTCCATGGCGTAAAAAAGACAACAAAAGACTCTGCTAACGGCAACATAATGAGAATACTTGCCTTAATATCATTGCGATGTGTAGTTTATCGGAATCCCAACATAAACAAAAGAGTGAAGAACTGGAAAACAAAAGACAAGATGCAGCCGTTAAATTACGTGCACGGAGATCGGAGGGGTCGCGTGCAGACACTCCAGACACTATGCTCCGTGCACCAGTCACAGGTTCCCTGTGACTTCACCACCCCCTCCCACCCTCTCTAGGTGAATTCTCCGTAAAATATCCTGCTTTGCACTTCAGCCCATTCTGACTTACTGTGGAAAGAATACTAGGGGTCTGGCAGGAGAGACTGCAGGTAAAGTGTGTAAGCCCTATCAATCATGTGGTATCACTTTGTCTCACTCCTAGCTGGCAGCAGAGGTTAAAGACACTAAAATGATAATATAGAAGTAATCAATCTTTATGCTGATGGAAGCATCTGTATTAATTTCACTCTCTTATAAATACCCCTAACAGGAGCTTTAAGGTTTTAAATTGAACCTCTATGTTACAAAACAAGGTATGAAGTTAATGAAAATGTTACTTGATAGAGATGCAACACATGTGATTCCTTCCATTTGCATTGTGTGAAGAAAAAAACAATTTTATGATGAACATACTGATATCATCTGCAAATAAAACATAGCAGTTGCACCTTGTCTTTATCTACTGCTGAAAGTATTATGCCTAAAGTCAGAGGATGTCACATCTCCCATCATATCAATACTGTCAGGGGCATCGTATCATGGAGAAAAATAACTTTTTTTTTTTACTTTACCAGTCAGGCAAAGTTAAAGTCAGGGAAACCTTTGATGAAAATGAATCATCAATGATTCAGTTGCTCTGATGTTCTAGGGTTAAACAAACACTGATAAAATAGTTCATTCATGGACATGAGAAGAATTTTAACTCTCCCTCTGTATCTATCAGGTTGTATCAGGTATCCTTTGAGGCCCCAGCGTGTGAGGCCATGAGGAGGGAGCGTGTGTTTCTCCTTGGAGACTATTCATCCTCTGCAGAGTTCTTTGTTACCATTGCAGTCTTCGCCTTCCTGTATTCCCTCATGGCCACCGTTGTTTACATCTTCTTTCAGACTAAATACCGTGAAAACAATAAGGGACCCCTCATTGTGAGTAGGCTACAGTGGATTCTTACATTTGTTTTATTTTGTTGGAAGTTCCTAACAATGTGACATCTTATACTCTCTGTTCATAAGCTTACATTAACTCTGCCAAACCTTTTTGTCTCTGCGCACACTGACAGGACTTTGTAGTGACAGTGGTCTTCTCCTTCATGTGGCTGGTCAGCTCTTCTGCTTGGGCCAAGGCTCTGTCTGAGGTGAAATTGGCGACTGAACCTGATGAGGTGCAGCTCCTCATCTCTGCCTGCAAACTCCAGACAAACAAGTGCGGCTCTGTACATGGAGCACGCTGGTCTGGACTCAACACCTCAGTGGTAGGTTCATAAGATGTGTGTCCAAACACTGGGAATGCATGAATTAACTTCAGAAAATATATTTCATTGTGTGTTTGCTGCTGAAATTATGCAGTCAAAAGGTTTAAACTAGGGATCACAGAGCTCTTGAAGTCCCAAAATGTTTAATTTTTTTTAAATTTTGTGCACACAAGATATTGTTGGGACTTCAGGGGCTCCGTAGGATTGTTAAAGTTCATAGCAGAAATTAAGATGGAAGTCTTTGAAGAAGAGGAAGTGTCATTTTTTAAGTGTAAGCAATGAATGTAAAAGTATCAGACACTGAGTGATGATGGAGAATCAGCCAACATACAAGCTTTGAAAGAAGCTGAAATGTTGGCAGAAGTGTCAGTGTTACATTGAGCAGAATACAATACAAATCAATACAATGCCATTAATTATCATCGCAGAGCTGTACAAAATTTGAATCATCTCATCTCAGTTGGAAGACGAATAAAACTCGCCAACATAAATGTACTGACCAGTTTAAACAACAAATATTTTCTAAAAAAGTCACTTGAGGGATAAATGTGGAAGCTATTTTGGACGCTTGCTCAGCTCGAATGACAAAACGAATTCCATTGTCGTGTTAATTTGGATATCTCCAGCCGTTTATTTAAGCAATTTCTCAATAATGTCATTATAGGATATAGAACAACGTCCCACTGCATCCACAGACACAAATAATAAACAAAATAGTTAGGCTACGTCTGATAAGATCAGGTGAAACTCAGACAGGCTGTCGGTCCAAGTTGGACCCCCGTCTGCCTTTTTTCGGCCTATTCGACATGTTGAAACGGTGTCATTCGGCATCGGTCAGCGTCGGTGCAGTTGGTGATAGGAATCACTCTGATTGGCTGTTCGAAGGATTCATTTCTCTCCAGCTCTCGACCAAGGTTAAAAAAAAGCCCATCGAGTCTGCTGCTTTAGTATCCATGCTTTTACCCATTAGTGTGGCTTTTCCTTTTTTGTCGTCTTTTTTTTCTTTTCCACTAAAAGACCCAGGGCTGACAATGCCAGCGCCATTTTGAACATTTTATCAGACATTGTTCTCGTATCATAACAGGGGACTACCGCCGCCGGCTAGCATGCAGAGTTATTTCCTCTCACGCGTGCGCAGAACATATGTGGTGGTTTGTCGTCGGCTGTAGTCTTTGCTGTCTGTTGAAGTGCAACTTTTTGACCAAGACTACCGCATTGTGAGGCGTTGTGAGGCAGCACAACAGTCGGCATATAAAATTAGCCGATACAGATAGTTACTGCATATGATAATATCGGCAGATATTATTAATCGGCCAGGCTTTAGTATAAATAATATTAACAGCTGTTGGATTGCCAGCTGAGTGTATACACTGAAAGCATTTGGCAAATTTCGGTGATGACTGGGAAGATATTTTATTTTGAAATCCTTAAACCTAAAGAGATTTAAGGTGCCAGTGGAAGATTACCATGTCATTGGTTTTCACTTGAAGTTTATGGCTTAACATGCTGAAGGAGTTGAAAAATAAAATAACTCCCATAGGATTTAAAATTATGAGATCAAACTGAAAGTATGTGTGCTTCACTGGCTAGAATTGCTTTGTCTTTTATTCTCTTTCTCTTTCTCTCCAGGCTTTTGGCTTTCTCAACTTTGTTCTTTGGGCTGGGAACATCTGGTTTGTCTTCAAGGAGACCGGCTGGCACAAGGGGGGTTCAAAGTTCGCTGGCGGGGCATCTGAGAAACAGGCCGGCACCTTTAACCAACAGCCCTACAACCAAGGAAGCTTTGAGCAGTCAGAAAGCTACAGCTCTCAGGGAACTCTTGGCCAGGTGTCTGAGTACAGCCAGGTGGGAGGGCCCACCTCCTACTCCAATCAAATGTAGCCGTGCCTTTTTGTTACATTAGCGGCACTACTGCATTTTAAACTTGGGCAATCAGGGAGGGAGTGATACAAGGAAGATAGTTCAGGATTAACGTTTATCCTCTATTCAGTATGTCTTCAATTTGTTTGCGCAAAAAAAATAATATGTGTTGTAGATAAAGGCATTGTTGGGTATTGTAAAAGTAGTCTTTTACTCATTCTTTGTCTGAAGTGCTGTTCGCTATATGTTGTATTTCTTGTTGTTTAAAAAGAGGTTTCTCTCTCTGTGCTTGGTAATAGACATTCACTGTTACCACTGGATGTCTTTTTCAAACTGGTTTACACTGTTGTACAAGGGAAAGTACTCCATGTTTGTACAAAGCTCACATTTCTAACACAGTGATGACCAAGTGCATGATGTTTTATGTGTGCTCTCTTGAAAAATGAGAAATGCATTTTATCAAAGACAGTTTACAAAATCCACACTACCCTGTCTCACTATTGAAATGTTCTTTATATCAGTGTGTGTTGTTATTTTCCAATCCCACACGGACAATATTTTGATGATGGGTATTTCCAATACAGCAACTGATTTTGACAATCATTTGGGAAATGTTCTGTATTTGCATACGTTGCATCTCATTGTCAAACACAGGTCATGTCAGTACTTCTCGAAATGTAAAGCAATAGCGATAAACTGCTAACTACTCAAACTGTTTGTTCAAGAAGAAAAAAAATGCAAACATCGCAGCATGTTTCTGTGTCCATGGTTTCTTTGGTGCATCTGCACAGATGGTTTATAACACTGTCATGTTATATGAATCATGTCTAGAGGGGGGATCGTCTTCTTCATTGTTTACACAGCTATGACCGTTTTCTACGGTGTACATATATTACAGGGAAATCATAAACATATGTCTTACCTCTTTAAACTATGTCCAGATTATCCATATTCAATGTCTAAGCCCAGCAAAAAGTACACCAGTTCCACAGTGATGTTAAATTTAAAAAAGTGAAAAGTGGACTTGCATGTCCGTAACTAATACTGAGCTTCTTATTTTTTTTTAATTCAAAAAAATTAAACCTTGTTTAATGTTGAACAAAATCTGTGCAGTTCATGAGTAATGTTCAAAGGCTAATGCTTGGATGCTGTTTGTTTACATCGATATCACTTGTGCAACCCTGTTTGTTTTTTTCCTTTTTTACCTCTTCAGCATGTAGCTTGCATCGGTGTAGAGCATATTGAACAACCATGTATGTATTATAATGTTGTGACATCCATGAGTGTCATTCATGATAATAAAGAGGCTCTAATTTGCTCATAAGTTTTGTTTGAGAGTCTGTTCTGATATCATTTTATAATCTGTGTTGAACATGTAACTGTCACCTTTGAGCTGTTTACTTGTTTTCAATAGAAACAGGGATATTCTGATGCTTCTCTCAGGTGCAACAAAAAGCCATCAATGGCAGGGTGTGTTTGCTCTGTGAAATATTGATGTGCAGTTTTTACAGACAACCTACAGACTCAACTTCATTAGTAAGTGACTCATTTGATTAATGATTGGGCTTTCTTCTGTGCTCTTTTCTAACAGTGAATTAAATATATAACTTCCTTTTTTATTTATATAAAGATACTTTGGGGTCATTTTTGCCTTCACTGGACATGACAGCTGAGGACAGGAGGAGAGAGCGGAGGAATTACACGCAGCAAAGGGCTGAACTTTGGACCCACGGCCGCCTCGACACAACCATTCAGGCTATCTGCGCCCTCAACTCTTTTGAAAACTTGTACTTTCCAGAAAATAAAATGACCCACTGCAAATCTACAACTTGTGTGAAAGAACAACTTGCAATTCCTTTAGAGACTTTATTGTCCAAAGTGAGCAGTGTCAATAGGCCTATCCAGCAGTGTAGTGGTGCCTATAGAAGTGGGTATAGAAGTGGGTATACTCTTCATTTTTCCTTCAACTGTTTTTTTAAGAGTCCCACCCAGCAGAGGATAATCGGCCTCAGTTATTAACAGTGACATGTAAGACTACTCTCGCATAATTAGTTAGTGTGTATATTAGCCAATTAGAGACAGAGTAGGGAGGGGCATCCCTTCCTCATCTTAGCAGCATGCTATGAATATTGTCCATCAATCAATGGTGTGAATCAGAGGGGATTTAGAAGTGGGTATACCCTATGTAGACAAAAAAAACAAGTACACCGAATACCTGCATATACCCTGCACTACACCACTGTGCCTATCTATCATTTGATAAAGACTCACGTCATGTGCTCAGAATTGATCCTAGAAGAGTCCCCACCACACACAATAAAAGTGTGGTCAAACATTTTGCACAGAAAGATTGGGTCAGAACATCCCTTTGTTGTTTTGTGGAAAAAATACTAGTTTACATCCATACAAAGATATAGGCCAAGTTGTCCTGGTGATAGTGGCAACTTAGCAGACGGATGCAACAATGAGGCCATCTTGTGGATGCAGTGAATATGTACCCTGATTATTTCCTTCAGTCTGTGATGGCTGCTCCAATATACTGTATAATCTATATCTGCTGTATCAATAAATGAAAGGGTGAAGAAGTAGACTTATTTTACATTTGAAAGATTGCAAGCACTCACATCCTCACCACAGACACACAGGGTTTTGTCAGATCCCAACCCAGACACATCATTTGGTATTTGATTTTAAAAAGTTTGCCTTTATTTAAGAGTTGTTCCTAAAGGCTGTCTACTTAACTAAAAAAAAAACTAATTTCTTTGTGAAGAGTTTAACTTTAATTGTAAAAATAAAAAGCGTAACGATCGACCACATGAAGAATTGTTTACTAATAGCCTATCACATAAAATGAATGTGTTTTTTTCAGTGTTCATTTGATCTTGAGTTGACTTTTATTTGTGGGTTTTCTCTATTAGGCTACGTCCTGTGATTTATAGACCCACTATGACTTGTTGCATTTCATTTTTGGTTGTCCATATATTTCCCTTTAAACTGTGTGCAATGCAATTTACAGTACATGACCCTGGGCTAGAAGAACAGAAACTCATGACATGGGGAAACTGATCTACAGGATACCCTACTGATGTTACAAAGTCGCACTGTAGGCTACACAAAAGCAAGAGAAATGAAAGACAGAGAAACGAAACCTAAATATATTCAGGATGTTTTTCCGCATGAACAGGAAACAAATGGAGAAGCAAGGAAACGAAACCTAACTTCACTTTGTTTCTTTTACCTTTTGGACCTGAGCCAATAGTATGGCTGAAGCCTGATATGCCTACTGCGGTCAAGCCAGCCGCTCCTCGCTTTTACATGGTGAAGAGAGCCGCCCCTAAATTTGAAGTGCTCACGTATTCTGATCTTTATGGTAAATGCTCCGGACTGCAGAGCGAGCAGGAGTAACAGACAGAGAGAGCGATTTTGACCCGTTATTAATCTCATTTTTTCTTTTTTTTGAAAGTGCTAAATGTCTAGGTCTTACCATAAAACTGGCTATGAGATACACGTGTATGAAACGGGAGTAAACCGATTACTGTACAGGGAATAGCTTCACAGAATAATTCTGCGAGTCTGCGGTAACTTCCGTTTTTCAAAATAAGGTGTTCACAATTTAAAAAAAAAAAAGTTTTCTTGGAGAAAAAAATAATTATATATTTTCTGACATAAGTACACAATGATTCTGATATGGTTGGACTAAGTACTTCTTAGACTACATGCACAGGTAAAGTACTTTTACTGTGTACTTTTTGAGAAATCCATTGACAAAGTCCCTTATAAATCACTATAATGACTCTTTTTCTGACTTTGATGTCTTGTAAAAAATAATTCTTCCATAAGTAGACAATTATTCTGATATGGTTGGACTTAGTACTTCCTAGACTGCATGCACAAGTAATATAAAGTACTTTTACTGTGTACTTTTTGAGAAATCCATTGTCAAAGTCCATAATAAATCACTATAGAGAGTCTTTTTTATGACTTTGATGTCTTGTAATAAAGAATTCTTCCATAAGTAGAAAATGATTCTGATATGATTGGGCTTAGTACTTTTTGAGAAATCCAACCATATCAGAATCATTGTCTACTTATGGAAGAATTTGTTTTTACAAGACATCAAAGTCAGAAAAAAGACTCATTATAGTGATATATCATGGACTTTGACAATGGATTTCTCAAAAAGTACACAGTAAAAATACTTCATAGTACAGGTGCATGTAGTCTAGGAAGTACTAAGTCCAACCATATCAGAATCATTGTCTACTTATGTAAGAAAATATATATGATTATTGTTTTCTCCAAGAAAACTTTTTTGTTTTTTGTTTTTTTTAATTGTGAACACCTTATTTTGAAAAACGGAAGTTACCGCAGACTCGCAGAATTATTCTCACACTAACTTCCCCGACCTCCGAAGCTATTCCCTGTACCGTATTCTGTTTACTCCCGTTTCATACACTTGTATCTCACAGCCAGTTTTATGGTAAGACCTAGACATTTAGCACTTCACTTCATCGCTCTCTCTGTCTGTTACTGCTGCTCGCTCTGCAGTCCGGAGCATTTACCATAAAGATCAGAATACGTGGGCACTTCCAATTTAGGGGCGGCTCTCTACCATGTAAACTCGAGGAGCGGCTGGCTTGACCGCAGTACAAGACTGGCGGTTCACCTGACATAACCCAGTCATTTATAGTCCAACATACAGCTGATACTGTAGAGTCGTCAGCGGCGACAAAACTTGTCAGTAGAGATCACTTTTATTTAACGTTTTGTTGTTGTTGTTGTTGTTGTTGTTGTTGTTGTCCTTATTCAATATTTTTCATTTGCAGGAGGCAAGAAAACATCAGCATGAACACTCTGAACCAGCAGTATGAGGAGAAGGTGCGTCCCTGCATCGACCTCATTGACTCTCTTCGCTCTCTGGGTGTAGAGAAGGATTTAGCGCTGCCTGCTATCGCCGTGATCGGAGACCAGAGCTCGGGGAAGAGTTCCGTGTTGGAGGCGCTGTCCGGGGTGGCTCTGCCCAGAGGAAGTGGTAGGCTCTTTGCTGAAACTTTAGGCTTAACAAAGGCCTAAAAAAATCTGTCAATAGTTATTCCAACAGGAATGGTGCGTTTCTTAAGTCACTTTGTTATAACTCAGAAAAAAAAAAAATCTAAAACCAATGATAACCAGAAACTTTCAGCTCGTGTTGGCTAAATGTTTACGGCGCCACCCCGTATTCAAAGAGGAACATTTATCTATTTGTCCTGTAGCCTACATGTCTAAAAACGTAAATCCTTCTGTCTTTTAAAAGTCAACTATATTGTCGCTAATCTTATTTAGTGCGCATGCGTCGACCGTCCAAGCAGTTGTCACTGATGTGCAGGTATGCTTTTTTTGTTCTAAAGATTTGGTAGCCTACATTAGTAATAATTTCAGCCTGTTTCATAACCAGCCTGAAAGTCCTCACAGGAGCTTTAGAAAAGATTAAGAAGGGAT